TTTCCATCATGGCCGGCATCGATTTCCTGCCGTCGGAGCTCTGATTGCCTCGGCTGCTCGCGCATTCCAGCTAGATCTCGCCCCCTGGCCCCCATCATCTTGAGCCTCTTCCTTTCCTCTGCTTCTCGCCACTCACCGACGCGAAATCCAGCGCAGTTGCGCGAATGGGGGGCCGTGCAAGCCGGGCAGGGGAAGTTGAGATTGCAGAGATCACAACTGTTGGAACACCCAAAGCAGGCGGGCTTCATACACTGGCCCGACAGGTCAGGACACCGCGACTCGGGCACGGCAGCACACCCAGAGCCCAAGTTGGCACATTTGGCATTGATCCGCATGCTAGAAGTGCCCAATCTTCTCGACAAGTCAAACAAGTCCGATACCTCTGATCGCGGCCTCGGAGCCCTGGGCCTGCCTCTCTCAGCGCTTCTCCCTCGGGGAGAGCGGGTGCGCTGATCAGGGGATCGAAGCGTCGAAGTCCGCCTGGAGCACCCCGGGGCATAGCTCCCAGGCGCCCCCCCCCAGAACGGACATTGAGCACTGTTCAACCGAAATGCTGGAGGGTTCTCGCCCCTGCTCGTTCACCGGTCGAACAATGTCGCCCGCGACCCCGTCGCCCACGATGTTCTCCTAGCCTCGCCCCGCAGCGGGAGATCGCCCAGCGAGACAGGGAACGCGGGATCATAGACCCCGTGCCCCATCGACAGGCGGTTGTTGGCCCCCGCGGCAACCAATCGGCGCCGGCGTAGATCTGCGCGAGAAATCCCCCTCGCGCGATCTGATCTCCACGCCGCGGTCGTCGCGCGAGGGCGGCTCCGAAGCGCCCGCGCGGCCATCGAGCGGGACGAGATCATCATCTCCATCTCCTTGATTCATGTCCTTGCTGGGAGATGACCTTGTTCTTGGGTCTCGGCGCACCTGGGCGAGGCTCTTCTGCGTGCGAAAGATTCCAGGATATCATGCTGTAATTGCGCAGACTCGACCCCATCGACCTCGTCGACGGAATCGGATTCGGGAACTTACGCACTCATCTCTTCATGGCGCGATCCTCTTTCGCCAAGTACATCGCCCTTGCGCGGAAGGAACGCCGCTCCTCCACCAGGTGGAACCACTTTCGTCGAGGACGGAACTTTCGGCTGATACCAAGCCTTTTGCCAATCCTTCGATGACATTGGCAAATCTTCAACCGCGTCGATAGGTTGTTCTTCACCATAGCCTTGCTTATTTTCGGGAAAAGTGAAGTAGGGGGCGTAGCCCTCCACGCCATGAGCGCGGCATACGCGCCCGCTAAGGCAAGGTTGACCCCGCGGGTAAGAGAGGGCCGGCCGGCCAAGAGGATTCGCCGGGGAGGGCGCGCGCGCGCGGCGGGCGGGGCGCTGCCTTTTTCCAGGGCGCGCACAGCTACGGAAGCATCGCTGCGGGGGCTAAGTGAGCCCGGGGGGTCGCCTAAAAAGACTCGACCCCTAACTGCGCGGATGCAGAGCGATTCCTTTTCAAAGTGAAAACCGCTTGAGCCCTTCTGAAATTTTGCGACCACGACGTTGAACTTCGCGGAATGCCGAACCGAAAACACGCGCGCGATAACAACAAAAAACAAAAACAAAAAACACAAACAAAAACATAACACCCCCCCCCCAAAAAAAAAACGAAGCCAAACGGGCCGTCGGCCTCGGGCTCAGAAGGGGCGCGACGGAACCCCTAGAACAACTCGCAAGATCAACAAAAAAACGCAACCCCAGGTAAACAACCGCGAACACTGAATCCGCCTGCGACGAGACTCGCGCGGGAAATAATGGTCCGCGGGGGGATTCCAGGGAGGAAAGAACAAAGGAAGGATGAGAAATCGCGAGCGGCAGCGGCAGCGGCCGCGGCATTTCAAGAGCAAGAAGAAGAAGAAGACAGCAGCAGCAGCACGAACGGCCATGACACACGAACATGCGAAGCTAGATCGGTCGAGCGTGAACGCGCGCAACGGCGCAAAATTAAACCTTGAACGAAAATACGTCTTAACGATAAGTTAAGTCAACAGCGTAGAGTCGATAGTGCAGTGCCAACTGCGTAGTGTCAATAGCGCGGCGTCAACAGCGCAGTGACAACAGCGCAGTGTCAACTGCGTAGCGTTAACAGCGTAGTCTCAACAGCGTAGTATCAATAGCGCAGTGTCAACAGCGTAGCGCCAATCAACGGCGCAGCAACAGCGTAGTCTCAACAGCGCAGCCTCAACCAATGGCGCAAAACAACGCAGTGTCCGCCGCGTAGTGTCAACAGCGCAGTGTCAACCAACGGCGTAGCAATAGCATAATGTCAACAGCGTGGTGTCAACAGCGTAGTGTCAACAGTGTACTGTCCACCCACATCGTGCTGACGACAGCGTGTGGTTAGCTGCAGGAGCCAGGAGAATGGCGTGAAATCTAAGCGTACCGTCGAGCAACGCCGCACTGTCAACATTGCAATGTCAACAGCGCAACCGCAGTGTCAACAGCACTGCCCACAGCATTAATCAACAGGGTTGCAGAAGACAACGTTGTGGCGTCGACCAGCAGCGTAATCTAAACAGCGTAGCGTCAAAAGCGTATAGTCAACAGCGCAGCGTTGTAGTGTTTAAAGAGTAGCGTCAACAGCGCAATGTCAACCAACGGCGCAGCAACAGCGTAGTGTCCACCGAATAGTGTCAACAGCGTGGTGTCAAGAGCGTAGCGTTGACGGCTTAATGCTTACAACTATTGCTAACAGCGCAGTGTCAACAGCGCAGTCTCAACAGCATAGTGTCAACAACGCAGTGTCAACAGCGTAGTGTCAACAGCGTAGTGTCAACAGCGTAGTGTCAACAGCGCAGTGTCAACAGAGTAGTGTCAACAGCGTAGCGTCAACAGCGTAGTGTCAACAGCGTAGCTTCAACAACGTAGTGTCAACAATGTAACGCCAGCAGCATGCACCAACAGCTTGACAGGAAATTATGGCGCAACGTCGACCAACAGCCTAGCGTCAACAGCGTAGTGTCAACAGCACCGTGTCAATAGCGGTGCGTCGTAGTGTTAACAGATTAGTGCCGACAGCGCCGTGTCAACCAACTGCGCAGCAACATCGCAGTGACAATAGCGTAGTGTCAGCAGCGTAGTGTCAACAGCGTAGAGCTTACAGCTCAATGTCAACAACATAGCGTCAACAGCGTAGTGTCTACAGCGTGGTATCAACAGCGCAACTGTCAACATCGTAGTGGCAACAGCGTAGTGTCAGCAACGTAGTATCAACAGCATAGTGTCAACAGCGTAGGTGTCAGAAGCATGAACCAACAGCGTAGCAAGAAATAATGACGCACCGCCGGCCAACAGCGTAATGTCAACAGCGTAGTGTCAACACCGCATGGTGAACAGCGTGCTTCAAGGCGTCGTGTCAACAACGTCGTGTCAACAGCGGAGTGTCAACAGCGGAGTGTCAACAACGCAGCATCGACATCGCAGTGCCCGACAACAGCGCAGTGCCACCAGCACATTCTCAGCCGTGCGCAATGTCAATAGCGCAGTGTCAACAGCGTAGTGTCAACAGCGTAGTGTCCACAGCGTAGTGTCAGCAACATGAACCGACAGCGTCTCGGAAAAACGATATCGTAGCGTCGACCAACAGCGCACTGTCAACAACGTAGTGTCAACAGCGCCGTGTCAATCAAAAGCAAAATCTCAAACAACGTAGCCTGAACCAAAGGCGTACTGTCAAGCAGCTGTGCGCCGTGTGAGTAGCATTGTCAACCATCAACCACGTACTGTCGACAGCGCAGTGTCAACAGCGTAATGTCAACAGCGGAATGTCAACAACGTATGCTCAACCAACAGGGTCTTCTGAATACGAACAACGTAGCGTCGCAGATTAGAAGCGTACTGCCTCTCCTCTAATGCGAACAACGTAGTGTCAAGAGCATAACGACGCAGATAAGAAGCGTACTGTCTCTCCTCTTGATGCGAACAACGAACTGTCAACAGCGTAGCGTCGCAGATGGGAAGCGTACTGTCTCTCCTCTTGATGCGAACAACGAACTGTCAACAGCGTAGTGTCGCACATTACAGGCGTACTGTCTCTCCTCTTGATGCGAACAACGAACTGTCAACAGCGTAGCGTCGCAGATAGGAAGCGTACTGCCTGTCCTCTTGATGCGAACAACGAACTGACAACAGCGTAGCGTCGCACATTACAGGCGTACTGTCTCTCCTCTTGATGCGAAAAACGTAGTGTCAACAGCGTAGTGTCGCAGAACAGAGGCGTACTGTCTCTCCTTGTAATGCGGAAAAACTAGTGTCAACAGCGTAGTGTCGAAGAGTTGAAGCGGAGCGTCTCTCACCTTAATGCGAACAACGTGGTGTCAACAGCGTAGTGTCGCAGAGTAGATGCGCACAATATGTCCTCTTATTGCGAACAACGTCGTGTCAACAGCGTAGCGTCGCAGACTAGAAGCGTACAGTCAGTCCTCTTATTGCGAACAACGTCGTGTCAACTGCGTAGTGTTAATTAACCTTGCGCTGCGTAGTAGCAACAGCGTAATGTTAATTCACCCTGCATTACATAGTGTCCACAGCGTAGTGTTTATTCACCGTTTAAACTTTAGTTTACTGTTAAGAGATGCCTTGACCTTGAACGCCTTGGCTGGCGTCGCCGGCGCGCCACCGCCGCATGAACCGACTGTAGTGTGTATTGCAATGCTCATGTGTCTTGAGTTTGAACTGGTCCTTATCCTCCTCTTCCTCCTTCGTCTCCTCCTCATCTCACATGGGGCTCACCAGAAATTCAGTGGATACGTGGTCCGTCAAATTCCACTTCCTCCTGCTGGTCCCTTATCGCCCTCCTCCTACTCCTCGTCTGTATGTTCCTCCTCCTCCTCCTTCGAAGGGGCCGCCGTCAACGCCTGTGGAATGAAGCCATGAAGAACTGTGCACTTCACAGTTCACATGCGCCCTCAAGATAGAATGTCAAAATTGGACGCCTCAGAGGATGTCGGCGAATGCGGCGCAAGCCTCTTGAATCATAGGCTTCCTTTGCCTCTCGATTTCTTCTGTCTTTCTCTTCCTGCGAGAGCTCGTTGTACATTTTCAAAGCCTCCGAGAGGCTCTTGCCGGTCAACTCCGATCTGAAGACTTGCAGGGCGTTGCGCGGTCTCTTTGGCATATCTTCCGGAACTGGAATTGCTGGGGCGGCGGCCTTCGCCTTCCCCTTGCCCTTGCTCTTCGGTTGTGCCTTGATCGCCCTGCAGTACTTGTGCCAATCCTCACCCGCCTTGAACTCCCTCATCGACTGTTCGAAAGCCTCCGCTTGCGCCTTGCGTTCCTGCTCGATCTTCTCCTTCTCCTCCTCGGACAGCGCCCTGAACCTCTCCAGGAGCTTCGCGTGCAGATCGGCCGCGCTCAGGTCGGGGAAGTCGCGCTTCACCGCAGGCGTGTTCGCCTTCATCCACCTCATTTTGGGGTCCGCGGGCTTTTTGGGCATCTTCCCGAGATACTGAAACTTCGCAAGGTTCATGCGCTTACGTCGCTTTGTGAGGTTGCACTCTTTCATGTAGACCTTGCCCTCATCGCTTTCCATGAATACTCTCATGCTTGCCTCGCTTAGCTGCCCCGATGGGCCACACGCAACACGTGGCGTATTGATACGGAGCTCAACACGGAGACTGAAACCACAAGTCTGGCGCGACACGTCCGCCACAAAGTGGACCGACAACACGAGCCGAGCCAACACGCAGCGTGTTAATACGGACGTTTCGAACACCGTACGCGTTGCTTTTCGAAACGGGCGCATCAGGGCAGCTAAGTGGCCTCGTACTCTTTCTGCAGCTCCTCGGCCTTGTCATCGTACTTCTTCCGCTCCGCCCCCTCGAGCTTGCCCCAGGCCTCTGCGATCTCGGACAGCTCCATCGTGCCCTTCTTCTCGGCGACGAACAAGCTGTACGCCTGCTTCGGCTTCACCGGCATGTCTGGAGGCCTCTCGGGATTCGGGATGAACCGCATGCCGTTTTTCAGTTTCTTCATGGTTTTGCTCTTCTGCGCCAGAAGGCTTCTGATGGGTACCTTGAGGCTCTTCGCCTCCGCGATGTACTCCTTCCACATCGGCTTCTCCATGTACTCCTTCACCTCGGCCTGCCACGCCTTGACTTTTTCCTTGCGCATGTTGTCATACTCCTTCTTCGTGGCGAGGTCGAGCTTCATGAACTCATCCTTATACTTCTTGACCTCTTCGTGCTTCTCCTTCTTTCCACTCGGCGCGCCATCGGCCTCGCCCTGTGGGGGGTCAGACACGACCATCACGCATCACTTAACAGACACTTTTCGTCGGTGCGCCCGAACAGCCATCTTCTCATAGACTCGCTGCCTCCTCATATTTCGATCCTCCTGCTCTTCCTCCTTCTCATACTCCTCCTCCATATCATCCAGCTCCTCCTCCTCCTTCCCCTCATCATCCGTCTTCTCCTCCTCCTCCTCCTCCTCCTCCTCCAGCTCTTCCTCCTCATCATCCTCATCCTCATCCTCGTCCTCATCCTGATCCGCACCATCATCAGCAGCAGCATCATCATCCTCATCACCATCAGCATCCACATCCTCATCCTCATCCTCATCCTCCTCCTCATCATCAGCAGCAGCAGCATCGGCAGCGTCATCATCGTCAGCATCATCAACATTAGCATCGTCATCGTCATCACCACCATCAGCAGCAGCAGCATCAGCACCATCAGCATAAGCAACAACAGCAACAACAACAACAGCATCATCATCATCATCAGCATCATCGTCATCAGCATCATCAGCATCATCGTCGTCTTGATCATGATCAGCAGCAGCAGCAACATCATGTACCCCTCCCATCAGCATGATCAGCAGAAGCACCCGTAGCAGCATAATAACGGTCGTCGTCATCACCAGAGTCATCAGCAGCAACATCATAATCGTCATCGTCAGCATCAGCAGCAGCATCAGCAGCATCATAATCATCTGAATCATGAGCACGATCAGCATCTTCATTATCATCAGCATCAGCATCACATCATCAACAGCATCGTCATTAGCAGCATCAGCATCATCTGCAGCAGCATCAGCATCAGTAGCCGTACCAGCATCATCAATCATAGTAGCCGTACCAGCATCAGTAGCCGTACCAGCATTACCGTAAGTATCAGCAGTACCAGCATCATCAATATCATCAGTACCACCAGCAGCATCATCATCATATTGATATTAGTATTCATCGTCATCATGATGTTCATCTGCATCAGATTACTCATCTTCGCCATCGTCGTCGTCGACGCATCCTCATCATTATCAGCAGCCGCATCATCACCATCATCATCAGCAGTATCATCATCTTCCCCCCATCCCCCCTCATCCTCTCACCCACCTCCCACCCTCCCCCCTGTCCTCATCATCCCCTCCTTCCGAAACCTTATGGAACCCCTTAGCGCCCCAAAAGTAACCTTCGAGCTCGTTAACAAACATATCTGTCTGAGACTCCCCCCCCCCTCACCTCCCTTTCCTAACTTTTTGTCCTCCTCCTCCTCTTCCACCTCGTCGTCGTCCTCCTCCTCTGCCCTCCCGCCCTCCCGCCCTCCAACCCTCCGTCCGTCCCGCCCTTACGCCTTACAACCCTCCCTCCCTCCCTTCATTCTTCTTCCGTCCTTCCTTCCTCCTCTCGGCTCTCTCCTCCTTCTCCTCCTCCTCCTCCTCCTTCTCCTGCTCCTGCTCCTCATCCGCCTCCTACATATCCATCCTCTTCTTCCTCTTCCTGCTCCTCCGCATCATCATCCTCCTCATCCTCGTCCTCCTCCTCCTCCTCCTCCTCCTCCTCCTCCTCCTCCTCTCCTCTCCTCTCCTCTCCTCTCCTTCCTCCTCCTCCTCCTCCTCCTCCTCCTCCTCCTCCTCCTCCTCCTCCTCCTCCTCCTGGTAGCACTGGTAGCACTGGAGAGCGCGCCGTGTGAGCACAGCAAAAACGCGCCTGACAAAAATGTGACCCAGCCCCGAAAATTAGACCCCAAATTGAGCCCCACATCAGAACAATTCACGGGGGCTGGGTGCCTCAACAGGACGTTACGGTTGCAGCTGCACATGTGGTATGCGGCTGGCGCACCGACTCCATGACATTTGCCAGGTCCCTCGCCCTGGTGTGCCGAAAATGCCCCGACCAGATATCAAGAGCATCAGCGTGCAGAAAATACCACGGCTAATTATCAGGAAAATCGTTTCACAAATCCCATGGGACAAGAAAGGGGACGTAAAAATCGACGCTCCTCCTCATCCCCCCCCTTCCTCTGTCTGCCCCAAGCTTCCCATGTTGGCCCCATCCCCTGCGATCTATCAGCCCCGATGGGGCAGGGCGTAACGGTCTGGACGTTCCGACCGTTCATCACCCCAGGTGGGTACCTCCGGAGAGAGCGAGGGTGGTCCCAGGCACTTCGCCCCGGCGGAGCTTGCGGAGCTCACTGCTGACCCGGGGGGGGCCGGGCCAGAGAACCCCTCACATTCTGACGCCTGCGGTGGTTTTCACTGAGGCGGGGCTGTTGGAGCTTGGTGCCCCTCCCCATGCTGTAACCCCCACATCGAGTGCAATTAATGATTGACATGCTGCTCCCATCAATCCATCCCATATCGAGGGAATGGTGAAGGGCACTGCGCTGATTGATTGCATCTGTGAGGGACTGGGGATATTCTTGGGAGCGCTGCCTCCAGCAATAAGAAGCGATGCGTTGCAAACACGTGGTGCAACGATAGCCCTTGGGGTTGCGGGAGGAGACAAAGGGGCAGGGAGGAGGGGGGGGCCGAGAGACCTTGGACAGGGGGGCCAAAGTACTCCCGTGCAGGAGGCCAGCTAGCAAGCACCCTCGCAGCACCAATCACGAGCTCCAGAAACTCTTCAAGAGCAGTCGTTGTGTCTGAGCGGGTGGTGGGATCAAGGTCGTGCTTGCCAGCCGCCTCTTTGGCTAGAGTGTCGGCCATTCTGTTGCCGAGGATACGAACACGGTCCTGCTCAGAGACGGCGTCGTTTTACGCTACGATGAGCTTTAACATGTGATGAAGAAATCCAAGGTCCGGGCGTGGCATTGGGCCAGTGCCCTCCAGTAGTGGCTGAAAAAAGTGGCGCCTTTCAGGCTAGAGGCCGGCTGTGTAATCCCTCTGAAGAGGGCCCTGCAATCCACAGCAAACTCTGGAGACTGCGCCAGATCAGAACGCAGCCGGGCCATGACAAGCCCAGAATGCTCACAATGAACAGCATGCTGGGGCAAAATCCGCGGCTGTGGAGACGAAACAGCACGCAGGAGGTTGCCATCATCACCTACCTGGCATGCCGCCAACCCTCCTCTCTCCAGCATCTCAACCACGGGGTTGAGGCACGAATCATCAACAAAAGTGGGTCGGCTGGGATCGACTTGAAACTTATCGCAGGGCCCCTGCCCGTCTCTGTAGACGAACCCCCAATCTACAACTGGGGGGTCGACATCAGGGGCAGCAGGCCACAGATGCGCATAGAGCGGGCGGGCGCGGCCTGCAGCAACTGCCAGCTCAACACATTTCCCCAACTCTTGGTCTCGGATCGGCGCGCAACGAGGGCACTCCCAGAGGCGGGGGGAAAAGGATGTCTAGTGTACCATCGTAGCAGTGCGGGCACTATGGGGAGATATTATAACACAATGTAGACAAGGGGGTGGCAGTAATCGGACAATCCCCCAAGAGCCTACGCACGCACGACACCTCCCGAGTGCTGAGCTGTCTCCTGGCCTGCCGAAGCACTCGGCAGATCTGGATTCTCCACATTCCCTGTTCGAGCACTGCTTGCCCGTAGGGTGAGCATTCACGCCAAGCTTGGATGCCAAAGCAGCCTGCAGACTACGGGACTTAATGCTTTCATGAAAGAGGGAGATGAGCCACTGGGGAGCAAACTCAAAGAAAGAATAGGCTTGCCCTTCTGGGCTCACAAGATGGGTAGCATTCTGGAACGACCATCCCGCCTGAACAACCCACTGCAGAATCTCGGTGGGAGGACCGCGGGATTTTCCAAGCCACGAATTTTCTTAATGTTCCTGAGATGCAGAACAGCCCTCTCAAACGCATTGCGCAACTCCTTGACTGTCATGATGTCGGCATGCCTGTGCTGAAGTGGCGACGTGCCAGACAACATCCACGATTCATAACAATACCGCCGAAGGGTACTCGCACCCAGGTCCATGCGGTCCGATTCCGGAGCGAACGCCCACCAAAAATCGACGTGGGCCCCAGGTGCACGGTGTCCTGACAGACTCCTGACATGTTGACGGAGACGAACAACAGCTCCGATGGGGGTACAGCCATGGACCTTGCCCCCAAACGCAAGTCCAGACTGCACGGACGCTTTGAAGAACCTGGGCTTGATGCTCTTACCCTTGCGAGCGGGGAAGGTCAGCTGGATGTTGCGAAGCTTGCGGATGCGACCTCGTGCCTCGGTCCACCGCTGGCCTCGCAATACTGACTTGGTACTTTGTTCCTTCCCTGCAGAGAAGTCACTGCCAAGGTTGGCTGCAGAGTGAACCCCGGCACCAAAGAGCTCAGCAGGGAGAAATTTCCGAGCCGCGCCCAACAACTTGGCCGACGAAGCAGTAGTGCAGACCTTACGCATAGCAAGGGGAAGATTGGCCCTTTCCAAGCCAGAGTATATACGAGTCGCAAGCGTCACCATCTGACCCACGCAAGCTTCAATGAGGGTGTTCCAAGAAAACAAGCCCATGTCATCGATGAGCACAGTCGCGCCCGTGCCCTCTTTCGCCTGCCACGTGGCAGACACAGCGGGATCCTGGACCAAAGGGATCAAGTATGCTTTGGCTTCGGAGGTCGCTGTGGCAGAGCGGGCTACGATACCTTGATCTGGCCACATCTGTTCACTCAGGATCCCTTCCAAGTAAATGCGCCGAGACCATCGGTACGACCCTACCGACTGGGCCAAAATATACCAGGGAAACCTGAAACACCACATTGATCAGCAAGACCCTTGTGTACAATATATTCGTAGAACTGCTTGACATCCCAAAATAAAACCAGGAAGTGCATTCTGGGAGTGGCTGCAGATTCGGCGCGCACTGCCTGCCCCTAGACAGCGTCCTCCGCCGAGCGCTCCTTCCCCATGCAGCAGGCGGGCCCCCCTCCGACCTCAGCACCCCAGGAGCGGAGCCTGCACGCCAGAAGCCGCCCTTTCAGACGGGGATATGCAGAAGAGTGGCCGATCGGTCGCCGACCTGGCCCCTCAGAATGGCGGGCCAGGAGGA